AAATTATAGAAAAAACCAAATAATTCCTCATATCTAACTTTCATATGAAGTTCTAGAAGTGGATAAGGTGATACTTAGTATCAAAATAGTGAGAAATAATGATACTTAGGTTTCTCACTATAAAAAAAAAGATGCTCAAGAAGTTTGAATATAGTGATTGTAAGCCAACACTCATATCAATAGATTCTCATAAAAAGTTAATGAAAATGGAGGGAGAAGTATTTCTAAAATTGAGTATGCAAGAGTAATTGGTAGTTTGATGTTTGTTACAAGCTACACAAGATTAGGTATTGCACATGTAGTAGGTAAACTCAGTAGATTGGTTGCCAAGTAAAGATCAATGGGATGTAATCTCTTGAGTTTTGAGATCTCTCAAAGGAACTATCAATTTAAACATAGATTTTACCGGTTATCACATAGTGTTGGAAGAATTTAGTAATGCGAGTTGGAGCACAAAACTCAAAAATCCACTATCCACATCCAGATGGATAATTCACACTGGGAGGTAGAGCGGTGTCATGGGGCTCAAAGAAACAAACATGTATTTCTCACTCCAATATAGAGTCGAAGTATATTACATTAGATTCTACCAGTAAAAAAGCATAATGGCAAAAAAACTGGCTTCATGGTAGTCCATAGTTAGTGGCCCAAACTGATACCAGTGATTAGAATTAAGTTTGAGAATCACGGTATAATTACTCGACCGAATAATGATATTTATAATGGCAAATCTAGATATGTTGTGTGCAAACATATCTCGTTTAAATGTTAATAAAAGATGGAGTGTTAGGTCTAGAATTTGTAGGTTGAAGGAGAATTTTGCCTATCCTTTGACTACATGCCTTACAAGGAAAGACATCAACAAAATGTTAAGTAGAATAAGGCTAGAGTCCATAAAGTAACCTTCAACTGTGGGAACCAAATCTAGTCTTTTGTTACCTCAAGAGGTCATAATACAATGTTGTAATAAGAATCCATTTGTGTCGTTGGTTGGATCACTAGATGTGATTAAAGGAAAAAGTTTACGTAAGGGTGAGGCTCTAAACAATCAATTTAAGGTGTATCTCGAAAATTCACTAGAAGAGGTTGTTTCAATGCTAAGAAACCTTCAATTCGATCATCTCGACCTCAAGATGTATAGACATAAGAAAAAATAGATTTTAAATATTGAAAATAGTGCACATTGTACTGTATCATCTAGACTATCAATTTCTAGGATTTCTAAGTGTACATAGATCTGCTTTGTCTACACTATTTTTTATTCTTTAAACTTTATAATTAGATAAAAAAAATAACTTTTTAGGTCGTTACAAAGATTTGTTACATGAAAACATGTTTTGGCACTATTTAAAAGGGCATCTTACTTTGATTGGTCAGGGCATCAACCTTATAGAAACCACACCCATGATTAAATGATTTACAAGTACCCATTCTCAAGAGATCCATACAATGGGTAAATCTAGTGACGACTAGTATGAGAGGAGATTGAGTAATATTCTTAATGGTGTCGACAGCTAGTATTAATTGGGTTGTTTTATGTACTAAGGCACCTTTGATAGATTCACTATGGAAGTAAGGCCACTTCCTATGAAATTGGACTAGTCTCCAGAGAGCTTATGAAATCGGGATATAAGCTCAATCGGGATATAAGCTCAAGGCCCATAATAAGTTGGTAGTATAAAGACACAAGTTTTTATATCATGTGTGTTGTGTTGCTAGTATGTTGGAATAGTTCCTTAGTTGAAAGCTACGTGCCACCATAGCACTTGATGTACTTTGTAGTGCATACACTACATGGAGATTCAAATTGAAATATACCTTCATAGTATGCAAGTGATACAATACTTATATGTAATATAATTGAATTTAACATTGAATTTAACATCTATATTTTTTAACATCATATGAAAGTATCCAAAATTGAATAAATCTCAAAGAAATTATTTCAATTAATTGGATTACCTGGATCTGATTGTGACATTTGTCTCATCACCCTTTCCATCCCAAATGTTGCATAAAATCAACTCATCAACAGATATCTTATATTGGATACCCCTTTTGGGAACTAGTCTCTCAAGATATTCACTAAAGCCTTCCACAATTGGTACCTCCCTCTCATCTCCGTATAGTGCATCATGTTTAAAGTCCATCGTGGGTTTCATGTCGCCAGCAATATCTACTCCATCATTTCCCCAAAACCTTTGAAAGGTCCCTCTTAGCTCTATCTAATGCACATAGCAGGCTTCACCTCTCCATTAACAAATCTTAGAACTTTTACTAAGGTAGAAAACCTTAACTCAGTATACTACCCCACTCTAAAAAGTCTTGGACAAGAATTTATCACAGGCCATCTTCCCTTTAGCATGCATGGACCACTTGCATTTAGACCACTCTTCTAAAGCGAACATAGGTCTCAATTGGTTTCTCTTCTACAATGTGCTCTGTGCACTTAGGAAATGGAAAATCTAACTACTTCTGGCCTCACTAGATCCCTCTTTTCAATGATCTTGTGAATCATTCTAATGACAAGGGTGTGACTGTAGATGAATATCCTCATGGGCTTAGCCCTAGTAAGTGTACCTTTCACCCTAGGCACGCCAACAACATCAAGCATGAGGTCTATACAGTACGTTGCTCATGGTGTCCAGCTGATACAAGGCTGCTTTTGGTGCAATGCATTAGCAGCAGCCGGATGGCTGCAGCATTATGAGCTTCCATTTGAATAACGGGAGCTTCCCCAACCTTGTCAATATCCTTGTCAATCAAAGAAAAACGAATTTGCATCATGTTCATCATCCAATGCATACATATAACTAAAAAATACTATCCCTAAAGTGTCAATATCCTTGTCAATCAAAGAAAAACGGATTTGCATCATGTTCATCATCCAATGCATACACATAACTAAAAAATACTATCCCTAAAGAAAAATTCACCGTCAAGTTCATCATACTTCCAGTCTTCCTATCGCTCCATGTATCTGTCATAATTGTGGCCTGATATTGGAAACATGCATCCTTACAGGTCTTAATGTACCCATGTATTGTACTTCCTTTTGAAACCCTAGCCATTGAGCTCGAATCAGGTTAGACCCTTCAACCCTATCCCAAGTTGGCAAATTGCTTCCAACATGTATGAAAGCAGTGAGCCTCATTAAAAGCAATACCCACAAAATAAAAGAACTGAGCAATAGACTAATTTTCAGGGCCCATCTTTCTTCTTGAATCTATATTCTAATTTTGCTTTTTCCCTTTCCCTACTGCAGGCTAAGGATTTTTGGGGAGGATGGGGAGGGAAGATATCCATTAGCCCCTTCGAGGCCTTTCCAATTGCAATCATTTCATAGAAAATTTGAGAGAATCCACTTCTATTTCCCCTCCATCATCATCATCCTCATTATCACAACAACCATTCATCTTTGCCTTTTTAACTCTCTCATAGATCCCCATCTTGCAATCTTGTTCCATTTTTTACCTCCAAAATCTCCACCCTAAACTCTTCATTAACCTCTTTACATGGGCCCAATACTGAGAGATGTTTTCTAATCTATTAACTCTGGCCTTTGTATCTTTACTACAAAAAATTGCAATAGATTTTACAAAAAATTGTAATAGATTTTTTTTTTTTGGTCATTTTTATTCAGGCAAAACCCATGTTTCCATCCTGGATCCCCATTCCTATTACAACCTGTGGAAGAAACCTGTGGAAGAAACTTTCAGAAAAAGAAAAAAAATCTAATATATGCCAACAAAAAACAAAAATTTGTTACCTATTATTCGATCTTCAAAATTTTGGATGACTGTGAACCTCTAAATTACCCTAGAGTTCCCCTTTTAACTTCTCCCTGTTGTTTACAATGAATCCATTAAAAAATAAATTATAGTTTGAGACTTCTCATACTTTTCAAAATTTTAAAACTCAAAACGAAATTTGAAAAAATACATGCTCTATGTGCTTGTAAAAACTAACGTCCCAAGATTGATCAAAGAACATCAAATTTTCAGACGGCAAGATTTGAGTGGTGGCGAACTCACAAAATTAATTCTTTTTTTTTTTTTTGTCTGAAAATAATCTAGGTATTCTTAGTTGGATCTCAAAAAACCAAATAAAACAACTCAAAATTTTCTCCATTACCTAAGGGAGCTAATTTACAGTGTGCTCCCATGAGAGCTTGAAATGATTAAGAATTAGCAAAAACTAAAATAAATAGCAGAGATCATTTAAAGTCTATAAAAGGTGAGAAAAGCTCGTAATTTTTCAGACAAAGAAAAAGGACAAACAAAAATTAGAGCATTTAATATGAAAAGTTCAAAATCCATCAAAAAAAACATTAAATTCTTGTATAAACATGTTACTCTGTCATTCATCATTTAACAAAAAAAAATATTTAAGAAGGATGACTTGCACTCAGAAACTAGCGTTGGCAGGCCGAGTTACTCGACCATATCCAGGCGGACTCCACCTAGTTTTCAAACCCAGAGAGAGAGGATAACAAGCCATTGCTTTGAATAATGAAACTATAAGCCTTAATCATGATCGCATAACATGCATGAAATCCTAATTGCTTTGAATAATGAAACCATGAGCCCTAATCAGGATTTAAGCACAGTAGCTCTGTTTTCCCCGGTCTATTCTAAAGCTTGCCTGTATCTCAACACAACGGAGTCCTATTGCTCCGTAGTAGATGTCTCGCATCAAGGTCCCTTCCATTCTCCCACTCAGATCTCATGACCATTTAAGATCCGATTGTCCCTTTCCTAACATGACGGCAATGTATGCCATACAAGTTAGTCAGTGTACTAAACTTTGTATGAAGGGAAATTTGGTCGCACTTCTTGCGCATGTTTTTGGGGGAACGTGGGGCAAATGGTAGGGTGCACAATTGTGCACAAAGCCACCACAATTACGTAACACGGTTTTCTAGCGAATCGCATGCGTTGAGTTGAGTGCACACTGTACGCATGAATGCATGGACATAAAGCAAAGTACATTTCCACATATGCTGCCAAATGCATGTCATAAAGCAAAGCACATTTCCACATATGCTGCCTTAAATTTGTTTCAGGGTTGAATTGCAAGAAATGATACAACTAGAACTTCATTAATCCCGTCTTGAAACATGTCGTTATATCCAGATGCATAATTCAGATGGCATTTAATGAAACCTGTGTATCTTCCATAGTTCCAAATCCTCTCCTCGACTGTACTCCGGTATAAACTGTGGTATTTGAGATATGTCAATGCGTCTGCCTATGAAACAAGGCATAATGCTTCCATTTGTCGAGTTGTAATCTGCAGCAAAAAAGCATTTCCTTTCATCAGAAACTGAAAAAAAAAAATAATATATATATATATATATATATATGAAAAGAACAAAACAAATAATAGGGTAATGTGTCAATACATGCCTTCCTCATCTATGAAATATTTCCGAAAATGTGAATATCCATTGGCAACAACATCAAGCTCATCAAGGCTGAAGTTGTACCGCTTCTCTAAGCACAAGTATAAAACCTGAAAACCGAGATATCAAATAACTAATATATCTCTGACCATGGGAATGAAAATTGTCACGAAGAGATCCAATCATTGTGGTCCCTGATCATGATGATTCTGAAAGTTCATACCTTTCTTGAACCTTGTTCCATTAATTTCCCCACCGTATCAAAGAATGAGTGGGTCAAATCATCACTATAGATCACATCAGCTGCTAAAAGCACTAATGCCCCTTCGACCTCTTGGATCTCAGACAAAGACCATGAATATTTGGTCCTGTATGGTAAAAAGTACTTCTGTTACTTTCTAACAAAGAAGCAACAAAGCAAGACTCCAGGGAAAACAAAAAATTCATCGTCTTTCTTTTTCGTTTCTTTTATATTCTTGGCAGGCTATGAGATAGAAAACTTTGGTCACACTTGGTGATTGGCAGTCTCATAGTTATCTTCGTTTTTTTTCAGTTGATCACACTTGGTTATGGGCAGTCTCGTAGTCTTTTTCAGTTTTGAAAAAAAGAGCTATCTTAGAGAAGAAAACATCTAGCAAGAGAATCACCATAAAAAATAGAACAACAAGCCAGCCAAAAGTGAGATATGGGACATAAATAACCAATCAGACCAACTTTGCATACACAATCAAAATGAAACCACACCTAAGAGATGGGTCATCACAACAGTGAACCTCAGGGGGCCACGAATTATTCCAATTAAGTTCACGTACATGAATAGAACTTTCACCATGCAGGTACATCTTTGAGTTAAGATGGACATTAGTGGAACAGTTTTCCAGGATTTCTTCATCAATATCTGCATTGCATGTGATAAGCAAGTTATGAGCACTAAACGTAACAGTATTTCACTTCCTCACTATGGCAAAAGAAAAGAATGTGTCGAACATTATCCACATGCTTAGCCACTTGGTATTTAAGTATGAGATATAGATAAAATCAAAGAATGTTTAGGATCAAGAAAAAAAAAATGTCAATCAATAACCGTCAGTATTCAATATGACAGGATGTTCCGTTGAAGCTGCTCACAAATAAAAAGAAAAGCAAGTATAATTCAATGATTTTCACTTTCTTACTATGGCAAAAGAAAAAAATGCGTCCAACATCATTCACATGCTTAACCTCTCGGTATTAAGTATGAGAGATAGATAAAATCAAAAAACATCAGGTGTATAATTTGAGATAACATTTGGTTGAAGCTTCTCAAAAATAAACAGAACAACTGCAAGTATAATTTACATCATACAACGCTTTTAGGTCCTTGAGTCTTGCATAATGTGTGAGGATGAAAAGATCAGTTACCTACCAAACCTAACATACAATAAAAGTCAAACCAAAAGGGGAGATGCTGTTTTCTCAATATCTTACATAATATCATCTCACAGTAGAAAAACAGTTCAATGAACCATACTGAACAACTAGAACCTGCTGAAAATTTTCAGAAAATTTCTCATCAATTTTGCAGAGCCCACAAATCAGATGCTTATGAATCACTCATGAAGATTCTCAATCATTGGATTTCAAGGATTTGGTAATATTTGGTGTTAAAATCAATTCACAAATTTTTAATTTTGGTTAGAGCTTGATCCAGGAAATATAAAACAATCTCTTTTAAAGACCTACCTGCCAAACCAATTATCAAAGTTTTGATCTCTCGAGAATATGGCAGTTGCAAACAAGAGTTTTACTAGTTCGAGAAAAGCTGCCATATCCACATCTTAATGTATGTCCAAATTTCCCGATGATTAGACTCTGAGAAAGTGAAATATCACGACTTTAGTGATTCCTCTAGACATTTAGGCCCTCTAAGAACTTGCTAAACGGTTAAGATATTCATTGAGTGGGAAAAGAATGAAAAAAAAAAAATAGATAGTTGATGGGCATACAGGAAAATTTTAGATAACTGATTCAAGCTACATATAGCAACTCTTACAACAGCTCGTTATATTGACAAATCAACTAGAAAGCTTGGGATTTCCATATTATTGTAATAAAGCACAATGCTAACAACATTTTGTTATAGGTTGCAGTCCAATGTAATGGATATTAAACAAAACTATAATGTGGTATACAAGAATGGTGAAATACAGAACATCTGTTGTAACAAACTAGGAAGACTTGTCCTATAGATCCAAACTTGATAAAGCCCAATATAAGCAGCAGATGGAAACAAAATATATGACACTCTACATGAACTGTAGTCATGAAAAAATACAGTATCCACCAACTTTAGAAGGAGATAAGATCATCACAGGTATGGCAATAAGCACCCAAAAAAATGACTCAACGAAGTACAAAGGAAGAACTTGAGCACTAGCACACAAAAGTGTATTTTTGTTTTGTACAGAAATAATCAAATATTAACCGAATGCCTTTTGGGTAGGCTTATCAGCTAATATAAGATCGACTACCAGCTACTGCACTTTTTTGGAGGTAATTTGGTAACATGGAAAAGAAAAATACTAAATATTACGGAGAAGGATTCAAAGAGACCATTTACTTTTGGTACAAGGACATCACAAACATTCATGTCCGTCACATTTCAAATCGGGTGGTTGTAATAGTATCATTGACAAGACTCAAAGTTCAAAAAAAAAAAAATCCTCGAACTTCGCGATACACCCCAAGCACATATAATGACCAGGAGCAATTGAGACCTCCTTGTAACAAAGATAAATAGTCTCATGGTATATTAGGGAATTGAATCTACCAGTGATTAATAAGAGGCACTCCTCACAGATTTTCGGATTTGAGTATTCAGTGGCTGATGAATTTATTTTGGTGACAACCAGGTAGCAATAAACCAGTTTAAATTGAATGTCTCGCAGGATGAAAACACAAAAAGAAATGGATGATCGCTAATAATGCAACATCACATTTCTATGACGAATATTAAACAACAATGTGTAAATTGATTTCATAGTTTTGCATGGAAACCATGCCTTTCTTGTTGATGATCCTAGTTATATGCATTTGGGTGGAGTCTATGCTCATTTTGGATCTCTTGTGTGCTTATGCTTGGATGTCACTTGATTCCAAATATAGAATAGGAGAAATCTCTGTGTCCTGACCAGAACTTGATGTTTGCCAGTCCATAAAATATAAGTCCCTGCCAGTGTAAGGTAATTAAGCTAGTTTCAGGATCATTAACTTATGTACTTTCTTCTCAAGATTTAAAAGCATAGACATCAAATCCTAAGCATAAAGCTCCATTCTACACAGTTCTACTCCAGCTGAACTTAAAGGCCAACATAATATCCATGTCCTAAAGTGATCATCCATTTCAATCAGGTTTTCTTTAATAAGTTGACATTTTATTAAAATATTTTTTATATACAAAAATAAAAAGAAGCACAGTAGAAACAAAGAGATCAATTTCAAACTATTGTCAATTGTGTTCATATTTATTGGCACCAAGCAGTTTCTGGTTCCTATCCATCAATTCAAAATTCCAATGAATCCCAATCCTCCAGGTACCCACGTCATTAAGGACTTCACAGTCCCTCCAAGTATGAGGAATTTAATATCTTAAATTTGCATAAGCACCTAAAATGCTAGTGCCAGTGTTTAAAAACTTGTTTTCAAGACACAGAACTCACTTGAGTTCAGTTGGCTCGGGAGGGTCCCGAGCCTTGAAACCCCACATCCAACCTAATTGAACAAAGGGTAGAAACTCACTGAGTCGACTCGGGAATTGGCGCATTGACTCACCTCAGAAACCTGGTACCTTCAGGGATGAAGTCCTGAAACATTGTTTGTGCAATGAAGGCTCAAATCATTTCTAGTGCCTCTCTTCTATTTCACTTTATATGTACCCAAAACCTCAAAGGGTATTTTGGATTGAAAGAGATTTTCTTCATCACACTTTGTACACCATTAACTTCTATAATTTTTGCAAATAAAGAGCTATTTTCTCGATATAGTACATTTCTTTTGCACATCAATATGCATACATATGGAGAACAACTGTGCAAAGAAGTAGAAAAGGATCGCAAATACCCTTATTTCACAACTTGAAAACCATATGACACAGAGAGACAACAGGGTTTGTTGAGGCCAAGTAGATGCAACTTCAACAGTCTAAAATAACACAGATCCATGAATTAAATTTTAATCCCTCCCTCCCTCCCGCCCTTCCTCCCACACCCCCCACCCACCATCTCCAACAGTCTAACATAACACAGAGCCATGAATTATATTTAAATCTCCCCCTCCCTCCCTCATGGTTTTTAGGACAATGATATAATTGGTCTCACTTATCAAATTCAAGGGTATTTTCAAGAAGCTCACATAGCATATATGCAGATAGAACATGTTCCATACGATAAACTCTTAATTCGTTAAATTTGATAACCAGGACAACGTTTATAATATATTTGCTTGGAATCACAAAGGGAGGAAAGAATGTAGAAAACTATGAGTTTTCAAATCTAAATCCACTTTAAAAATACCTGTTAAATATACAGACCTTGCAACACGTGCTAGTAAGATTCCCACCAGTCCTATAAAACATAGCACTCCATTAAAAAAGGATAGAATTGCAAATAAGTTTTACCATGTTAACACCCGATCATTGAGACTTTTAAGTTCATGAGACAAAAGTTACCTGTTCCCGCCCCGAGTTCTAACACAATAGCATCATTAAAATCTGATGATGTGAAAATGGTATGCAGAACAAAATCTGCCAACATTAATGCAGTACTCCACACCTAAATATAATAACAGATAAGAATTAATAGCCATAGTGAACTATCCCACAAAATGATAACTATCCATTACCTGCAATCCGACATTGGGGATTGAAGATGTAGTCTTATGCTGGATAACAATTGAATGGCACATAGTTTGTTCTGCATGACACAAAGATTATTCACTCTTAAAAAGATAAAAGAGAAAAACTAATCCTTCACTGCAAACGTGACTACATGGAGTGTAAGTAATTTACTAAGCAAAGGAAAAAGTTTCTGCTAATAACTCTTCCTTCTACACTTTCCATGACACAAGAAAGGAATTTTGGAGAAGTTAGACAATATGAAGCACGAACTACAGTGGGAGAATTTTATCACAATAATGAGAGCTCTCATCATAGTAGAGATAGAGATAGAGAGAGAGAGAGAGAGAGAGAGAGAGAGAGAGAGAATTCTTATCCATGAAAGTGAAACTTCATTGAAGTTGAGACAAGAAATGAAGTGCAAAAGTGGAAATAATATAGTTAGAATTTAATAAAAGATAAGTTCCCTTTTTAAAAAATAAAAAAACAATAAGCGATGAGTTCAATTCTATCCATTCCAAAATTGGCTTGTCATCATTGATTTCTATTAAGACATAAAACAAAGTATCTTTAATATTATGACATCAAAAGTACCAAGTGTACTTGGACAGTGTCATCAAATGTGGGATTTGGACTTGATATGCTGGGGGATTCCAATATGCTATGCAATTCGATGAGGTCCTGATGCAGGCAGATACTTCTGTTGGGGTCAAGAAATTTAAACATTTTAAAAAAATTTATAAAAAGGTTATGGCTTGCATAAGGTTGCAACCTTAAACAATCAAAGTAACGCACACCTCCAAACTTCGTCATAAAATGAAATTTTGGTGTCAAAAATTTTTAGGATGACTTGAGAATCAATTTTCATCTCTAATTATAAAATTTTAAATCCCAAAAATAATTCAAATCAAGCAGATCTATAAACGCATGAAAATATTGAAAATGGAGGACAGTCCAGGTACTTTTTTTGGGACTTAAAATCTTTTTTACTCCCATGTCCATACATCTTGATGTCGAGATGATTAAGTAGATGAATATCAAAACAGCCTGTTTTTTATGGATTTTTGAGGTGCACCTGAATTTAAGGCATCAACCTTATATAAACGTTTTCCTTTTATAAAAATATAAGAATTGAAGAATAACATGAATATGTGATTTTCGTGATAGTTGGCATTTTAATTTAGTATTTGTCTCTAATATATCCGATGTTTGAGTCGATGATATCCTGATAACCTCATGAAAGGTACCATAGTCTATTGTATCTATTCTCTAATAGTGTTTTGCAAGTTAACATGCTAAGATAAATTAATCCATCCCATCCCATATAATTAAATAAAACACAAAAGAATATATATTATACCAAGTATAAAAAGTTTTATACTTAAATTTGGTAAGTATTATACTTAAATTTGATAAGTTTTATACTTAAATTTGGTAAGGAATTTTGATTTCTCGGTTTCAATTTTTGAGCCTTTGAAACTCTTAATTATTAAGACTACAATACCCATGCTCGTGTGCATTTTTCTGCTGATGAGTATGCGGGTGCATAATTTTGCGTGATGTGTCCATATATGTCGTTGATGCACCACATATCCAGGTGCATCATGATAGCCCACATACACGGCTCGATGCGGTCCAGATGCGAGTGCATCACCGCGATGCGGACAATAAATATAAAAAATTCTAAAAAATCCAAAAAAATAGGATAATGCATAGAACAAACTATGGAGGTGATTTATGTAATAGTAGGTATGTAGTTTATTCATTAACTCCAAAAGTATTACTTGCTACCTAACGAAGATTTTGTATCAATATCAACTATCCCTAGATAGAAACTAGAAACTTGAAACTTGAAACTAGCTTCATAAAACATTCAACAACCATAATCACAATCACAAATTTGCAACCACAAACTTTAAAGTTACAAAATATAAACTAAAAGTCTATAAAGATTAAAGAGTTCAAAAATCAAGCTCAAGACAAATCATCATCATTTCTCAACTCTCAAATTCTCGGCCCTTGAAACCCTCAATTTGCTGTCAAAAATTCGCCTAAACTTCCTCAAATCAACACCCCAAAAGAAACAAATCAACAACCAAACACCAACCAATACGAAAATCTAAGAACTTCACAAAAATAATTTTCCCGCACTTTTTTTTTTATTGATTTGATTCCAAACAAGCCACAGATGTGGCTGTTTTCAGTTGTTTGGGGGGTTTAATACCCCTCCAAAACCTTCCCCCCCTTTTTCGGGGCTCAAAATGTCCAAAATACCCCTGCTCGAGGGGTTTTTTTTCACACAGTTGACTAGCCGCATATGCAGATTATGTGGATTATGCGGGATGCGGCCACATATGCGGAGAGATGTGCCCTCATATGCGCTGCATCTCTCCAAAGTGCATATGCGGCCTATTGCAATGCACTGCCCAGCGCATAACGCTTTATGTGGCCGCATATGCGGCGATGCAGCCGCATTTTAAAACCATGCCTAGAACACAAGGAAATGAGTTCCTTAGATTTAATATTGTCAGGACATCAATCACTGTCATAAGGAGCTTCAAGGTCGCCTCAATCCATTGATCCTGCCCCCGATCCCAGAACTGTTCCCGATCCCATTCACAAAAACTATGGTTCTCCTTAAATTGTTACCCTTCATGTACACGCCGTGCACTTGCTCCCTCAGCAAAACATATTTCTTTTTGAAATCTTGGGATCTAATTTAAAATTGCATATGATTATTTAAAAAAATTGCATATGATTCTTTTTTTAAAAAAAAAATTTCAATGTAAATGTGTTTTATTTGAAGGTTTAAGTTTACAATGTGCTCTCATGGAGCACAATATACTCCCTCATAGTGAAGGGGTTGATTTTACATGGTTCAGAACTTGAAGATCCGAATTGGTCTCTTAACTAAAAAAGAAAAACCCACTTCGCTGTTTGGGACTTCAAGTTCTGAACGGATCTATCATAAAAAAAAAATACAAGTGATTTAGGAACTTCAAGTCCCAAACAGTTTTTTAACCAAAAAAATCAGTTTGGAACTTGAAATTCCGAACGAAAAATTAGGGCACAAAAAAGAAACACTGAGGTTAGGAACTTGGAGATCCGAACAGAGGCATTTGGGGAAAATGAAAACATAAAAAAAAGCATATGAGCATAAAATGTAATATATATAGGAGACATTTTTTGAATATCTTATAAAAAGGGACATTTATGAAAATTTCCCTAAAAAAGAAAAGGGAAAGAAGTGGCTCACAATTTCCTGAACTTCAACAAATTCTCTTAATTTAACTGTCCCAATTAGCACATCATCCACCTAAGAATGCCCACAGCAACAGCATTCTATGCTCCCAACCATATCAAACAACTCCAAGTTGACAAAAACTTCAAGTCTTTCAATATTTCACTAAATCCAATAAAGCATTTGGGAAGGTGTCACTTCTGGACTGTTAGCTAATAATGATGACCTGCCCAAACCATATGGTTATACACACTTAACGTTAATCCAGCTTAAGTTTATTAGATTCTCTAGCATCTATCAATGTACGTCAATAAAATGAGCTTCCATATACCAAATTGTAAGTAGAATTGAACTTTGGCCAAGGGCATGGTAAGTTGGTCACACCTCAAAATAAGTATATAGAGGCACGAAGGGGCAAATAAGAAGGGCAAATCCAAAACATTCATCTGATCACAGATGCAACTGAAACAAATTAACAATGAAGAATAGAAACAGCAAAAAACTTCAAATGTTATGGCAACCTAAGGAAGAAATATGAAAACTTACTATCCTTTTTGCGACTCCTTCGGCGACTCAAAATAAGATCACCTTCTTGATCATACTCATGCTTTTGGCAAGTTGAAACCAGTTGGCTTCCTTCACATCCATCAGCCGATTGTTCCAGCACATTCTCTATTTTCAAAATGAACTCAGTCAAAGTATTACATTGAACTTATTACCAATTTCATGATGTTCAATTCATCCAGACAAAAACTCTCAGTGGTAGACAATATGATGTATAAGAACAATTTCCAGTAATTCCAGAAGCAACATACACACGTGCACAAACGTGACACACAAACGCGCACGAACATGACATGCAAGCACACGCATCCACACCCACACACTGACACACACACACACACACACAGAACATTGAAAATTACCAAGCCAAATTAGTCAAGAGTACCTAAAGTCCACGTAGTATCTCCATGAAGCTAAAACCAACCATAAATAATGTTCTGAAGTGCTTCAGGTAGCGCAATAGAAAGGCTTCCGATACAAAGAATACAATTAGCATGCATCTACAGCTCAAATTCATTTCAAGCAACAAGTTCAATAGAATAGAACAGAAAAATTGGTTGCAACTTGCAAGCATGGCAGTTGGGCGGCGTTAGTGGGACCTTAAATGAAGAAAATTTGATAAATCCTTGACCTTGGTAGAGAACTAGCGATAGTCTTGTCATGGTGTGAGGCTCCTTTTTATTTATGACAAGCAGGCCAGAAAGGTTAGATGAAATCTGGAAAGGGTTTAAGGTTTTAAACAGCTTGTGCAGCTCCTGTTTTCCGTTTCTTCTTTTGGGTTTTCTAGTTTCAATCCCAGTGGAAGATCCAATGAGAGAAGTAATTGTGATAAGTTCACCATGTCCATGTAAATGTTCGAAAATATCACTGAAACATAGAGCAGATTGATTGCCCCTATGCAGCTCATAACTTGCCTAAACTTACGTGGTGGAGGAAATAGGAATGATAACTTCATGGACTATCTTGACTCTCTAATGGAAAACAAAGTTGCCTGAGGTTGTTTAGAGGTTTAAGCATGTATATGACCTCTGGTCCTATTGGATACAGTTCATTCCATTTTTCAATAAATGCAGCTCGATAATCCCAGTTTGAAATATCCAATCGTTGAGCTGTTGATTCCCTTTGTGACGAAAGGTTGGCTATGTTCAAGTTTCACAAATTTAAAATCTCAAAATCCTAGAAGTGAAACTTAAGGAAATGGGACAAGAAAGAGTCTAAAAATAAAATCGGGAAGAAAGCTTCTGTCCTCCAGTCACAAGGCAAGAACAAATTGGTTGAGTAGGACAGGACTGAGCAATTATTTCATGCACCATCACAAATTGGGTGAGGAAGACAGACGTGAGCATCTATTTCTTACACCATCACAAATTGGGTTTACAGGTGCATCAATTCTCCCGAATTTATTCTAGAAAGTTTGTGAGTTGACTTTGCAAGGTTCCATGAGATGCAAGGGGTATGTTATCAGTTGGAACTTGGAGCAGCCATGGTTCAAAACTAGAGGACAAGAAAGGGGCTTATTAGAGGATTCAAGTGGGTAATGGAGGAAGTCAAATGGGGATGGAACTTTCTTCCAGAATGCATCAGTTGTTTAAAGTAGTGATCCTCAATAAAGAAAACAAGAGTGAGGGCCCTGAGTGAAGAGAAGAGTCAAGAGCGAAGAACCCAGAAATCTCTCCTAGAAAGGATCGCAATTTGTGATGAAAACAGAAGATAGGAAGTAGCAGTTAGAGAGAACAGGGGACTTCAAGAGAACCAGAAGTAATGGCTAGGAAGCCAAGAGACAGAAAGGATGAGACTTGATATACAGTTTATTTTCACCAGAACCAAGAAATGTGTATCTAACTGATTTAGATAATAAGTATATGTCCTTTAATTTCAACTTCCTATAGCTCTAGAAACATCAGCAGTGATGCTTTCATCATCACCGATCTCGCATTCAATGACAGTTACCATGTCCTTCAAAAATGGAAACCTTTGGAATTTCCTCTAAAATCACAGCAGAATATGCAATTATGCATAACCTTACAATTACACTATCACACACTCCTCCAATGCAGAGCGCACTAATTCATCTGTCGATCGCTTTCTTACTTATCTGTCACTGGTTAGAAACTACTTTCAACCGTTTCTTCAAAATAAAAACAAAAAAACTACTTTCAACCACTAGCATACCTGGGTGAGACATCCCCATCTGGTTTATCACTGAACCGGATTACACATCTGTTGAATGAAAACACTCCTTTCGCATCACATAATAACACTAGAGTGCACATAATAGAGTAAAAAAAACAAATAAAACGCTAAAGGGTGCTAAAAAGAACAACTCTCCCATCCCCACTCAGTACTGACTTTTTAGACATTTTGACATAAGTTTTTTTTTTTTGAAATGTCATTTTGTCATAAGTTTTAAAGTTTGTAATTCATGTATTGCCTGTCTTTTTCTTCCATTATCTATATCACAAAAACACCAGGAACCTGTTAGTTAGATGAATCCCAGAAAGAGTTAACAGGCCAATAAAATCACAGTGACCATGCTTACAAATGTTAAGGTCTGTTTGATGTTTTTCTAAAATTGCTAAGACGACTCAAATCTTCAGCAATGAAGACAGCATTAGGGATGTCATATGTTGAAAGGAGGAACTCTATTTGGAGCACGCAGTGAGAATAGTTCACCTGTCACTTAGTACCAAGCAGCAAATAGAACCAAAATGCGTCTCATTAATGACCAAGAGAACCAACCAAAGCTAGAATTGAGGAAACCAAAATCTTTGTTTGAGAAATCTCACCTAGCTCATTTCCATTTTGATTAGAAATCCTAATTCATATGTGAATGATAGCCATAGTTACAAGCCCAAGTACTAAAAACAAACATTTCAGAAGAACAACCCTTTTTGTCAAATGCAACATCACAGGAGCAACAGAACCTGCATGATTTTTGCTCATATGGATTTTAACTTCTGATCATAATTCCCTTACGACAAGCAAACTAGAAAATGCTAACTTGTTTTGATAATTAAAAAAAAATGTGGCTTTTATGAGGATATCTGAATTTTGATAAAAAAGTTATGGAATCAAAGAATTATGTACCCTAATTTGAATGGAAAGCAACACGCCTGAAAAGTGGATTCAATCTCATTAGAATATAAACAAAAACTAGGAAAGCATTCATTTGAATCAATTGGTATACACGCAGGGACCAGCTTCAACTTTAGAAGGACACAGAATTTGGGGGAACTTACCAAACTAAGATTCATGGTTTGGTAGTAAAAAGAAACAAGAAAAAGGAATGAAGCATTTGAAAATATGGTAACTGGAAGTAAAATGTATGGTGCCATGAAAAATAAAAGAATAATTTCAGAGACATTGGGTTTAGAGTGAGAAAGAAAAGGCTACCAGGTGGGGCGGTTTGGGGAGGAGAGAAAGTGAAGTGAGAAAGGTAGAGGCCAGAAAAATGAGGAGGGCAGCCAATATGTACATCACTTATTACATGCTCCTCTCCACTCCCTGGTACCGACTCCATGATATTAATCAAAAGATTTTCCCTACAATCTCAAATTAGGCGAGGGATAATCTGAGAGAGAGAGAGAGAGAGAGAGAGAGAGAGAGAGAGAGAGGAGAGAGAGAACGAACAGTCGACTACTTCGTAGAGAACGAACGTAAGAAAGAAAGAAACGAAACTAGTACGTACTACGTACGTACCGTTACCGTACGACGTAG